AACACTTTCTTTGCATTATCTGACCGTCCAGTCACACACAAACAATTTATCACCCTCCTTTTCCTCCCCTTCTTTATTATCATCATCTCTCGGCTCACGCAGCGGGCAGCTACAGCAGGAGGTCGCAAAAGTTTTCCTTTTTGAGTCACTTCTAAATCTGGACAACTATATGTCATCAGGCGAGCACAGTGTCAAACTGGAGGAGCACCTGACCACTGTGACTGGCTGTGTGGAACACACACACACACGTCAACATTGGGATTTCTGTAGATAAGACAAACAACTTTGATCACACTTACAGTACGTGTAATTCTTGGCCACTTTGATGCACTTTAGACTTTTGATATCGTAACCCCCCACCCCTTCCTCTCCCTCCACGCGCCCCCCTCTTCATCTGCTCTGGAATGTAATGCGTCGCAAAGTAACAAACCAGTCTCTGAGCAGAATACAAAACTTACATTTAATAATTAAATAATTCTAATGCCCTAGCAACAGCGTCCTGGCTGCTGAAGTGTTGCACACACACGCACCCACACACACGTCTACACACAGACGAACTGGCTGGCAGTTTTCCAGAAGTTATTTCAGAGGAATAGTGGTGCAGTGAAGAGCATTTAGTGGACCCTGTCCTCCCACTGACAGACATGGATATGCATTGTTCAGCGTTGTTTACTACACATACACAGCTCTGCACACAAATCACAGCTGGCACGTAGGGCCTGCAGTTTAACTGTCAGAAGTTTTAAGTTTCACTGGAGTTTACAGTACATTGGCTGCTTATCAGGTGACACATTAAGAGAATCCCGCTAATCATGGTATTGTTACCAGGAATAGACCATACGGAGAAATGGCTGTCAGGTGTGTTCCTTTCCTTTTTACACCCCCCACCCTCCTCTTTCTTAACTGTCAGTTGAAGAACAGCAAAGGGCAAAAACTCGTAACTTAAACGATATTGCGACTGAGATCTGAAGGTTGATTAAGTAAATAACTGACCTTCTCTCAACATGCCCACCGCCAGGCATTTGACAAACCGACAGGCCTGGCAGGACTTTCTTCTTCTCTTGGTGATTTCACACTCATTGGAAGCTGGGCAGCTGTATTCAATGTTACCTGGAAAAAAGAGATACAATTATAAAGAATGTATGTATTAAAAAACCTGTAGAAAATATGGAATGAACACATTGAAGGAAAATGAGAGTTTAAAGCAAAAGCAATTTGTCATAAAGTTAATCAATAGATGAATACAGGAACAACGTCAGTAGCAACAAAGATCATTTCAAAATCACATGTAACTCTGCAGAGAATTATTTTTATTCACGGGACAGGCTTTAAGACATGTATGTCATTGAATATTTCTGTCTTTCTGACATCACTTTTTTTAATCAATACACTTGGATGCTATAAAACAAAAAACATAATTGGATGTAATGGCCATGGCAGCTGAATGTACATGTTGAGCCCCATGGCATTCATCCAGGTGCAGGTTCTCCCAGCTGCCACCTGCCATCGGAGACAGGAAGCATCTGATGAGCTAGACACTACTGTGGATTTCCCCATTTATCAGCTTATCCCTGTTTGCCCTTTCAAACCCGACACATTGAGGAAGCCGAAATGCACCAACGTGTTCCAAATCCTCAACCTGGCCTGGTCCCACCAACAGAGCACAGGACAATCCACCCACAATACCCACAATGTTCCAGGCTCTAATAGCTGTTAGAGCTGACGCACTTGCGCACACAGTCAACAACTGGTGTTATCTGAAGATTCTGAAAGCTGAACTCAGTTGTGTTGACAATATACATCAGGGGTCTCCTAGTTGTTCTTTTTGTTCTCCTAGAGCTAATTTTACAACATAAAAATGACTAAGAGCAGCTCATGTTGTTTGACCTTTATTTTTATAGCTCAATTCCAACAAACAAACTCAATAAGTTTTCTTTGCCTAAACATGTACAATATGTTACTGTACACATATCACATTTTTATTAAAACACCACCAAGATTATTATTATTACTATTATTATTATTGTTATTATTATTATTATTATTATATTGTTGTTTGGCCGTCTGGCAGTCCACAAAGAACATCCATGTGTTCAAGGCTAAGTATTGTTCCTCCATTTTACCCAACTAAACTGTTTTTATTATTTATTTTATTTTCTGCAGAATGTCGCCGTCTTCTGGCCAAAACGACTACACCCTACAAGGGTGTGGCATCGTATAAACGCAGCATTTACGGTGTGCGGTAGCGAACTTAGCTTTAGCTTTAGTTGCACGGATATTAAACGCTAGCGAAATTATTAAAGGTTGGAAGATAAGCTTTTTGAATCAGCATTATTCATTTTTATTTAAAAAGAATTATTCGGTTTGCTTCTATCGACAGATATATATTTTATTCATGTTCCACAAGGGCAGGGTACCGGAGTGACACATTTTGTCATAGGATTTTATCAAGAAATGCGGTCGGTTGTTTGGTTTTACCTGCGCCAACAACAAGTTCCGGCCAAGCGTTCGTCGTTGGGTCCTCTACTGACGAAATGGAGAGAAGCAACTGGTGTGCCATTGCACTTCACCGATTGGTTGTTACCGATGTGCCATTGCACTTCAACGATTGGTTGTTGATGAGTGCAATTGCTCCGTTACGACAGCAGAGGTTGTGACAGCAGACAGGGCGGACGTGGTTGGAGACAGATAACGGCTGCGCGGGCACATAGCAACAACCAATCGTTGACGAGCAATTTGTATCGTATTAACCAATTGTTGAGGTGTAAGCGCACATCAGATCGACCAATCGATGAAGTGCAATGGCACATCAGTAACAACCAATTGTAGAGGCGCAAGCGCACATCAGATCGACCAATCGTTGAAGTGCAATGGCACATCAGCAACAACCAATTGTAGAGGCGCAAGCGCACATCAGATCGACCAATCGTTGAAGTGCAATGGCACATCAGCAACAACCAATTGTAGAGGCGCAAGCGCACATCAGATCGACCAATCGTTGAAGTGCAATGGCACATCAGTAACAACCAATTGTAGAGGCGCAAGCGCACATCAGATCGACCAATCGTTGAAGTGCAATGGCACATCACTAAGAACCAATCGTTGAGGCGCAATCGCACATCAGTTGTATTTCTCCCTCCCTTTCGTCAGTAGAAGGCCCAACGTGCAGACAAACTCTTGGCCGGAACTTGTTGTTGGCGGACCTTAAACCAAACAACCGACCGCATTTCTTAATAAAATCCTATCACAAAATGTGTCACTCCGCTACCCTACCCTTGTGGAACATGAATAAAATAGATATCTGTCGATGGAAGAAAACCGAATTAAAAAATACAATAAAGATGAATAATAATGATAATACTGATTCAAGTTTATATTTCAACTTTTAATAATTTCGCTAGCTTTTAATATCCGTAAAGCTAAAGCTAAGTTCGCTACCGCAGAGCGTGAATGCTGCGTTTATGACAATGATGACGATGCCAAACCCTTGTGGAGTGTAGTCGTTTTGGCCAGAAGACGGCGCCATTCTGCAGAAAATAAAATAAAAAATACAAACAGTTTATTTGATCAACATATAAAAAGACAACTGTTAAACCCGCGATTCTTCACTTAGAAGACTAACTCTCTTAGTACTAGAGCACGAGATCAAGGAACACTATATTAAGTCACGAATTAATAATCAAAATAATAAAAAAGTGAAATTTTTGATGAATTTTTGATACTTTCATTTTCTCTCACGTCACTTGTCCATAATCTTGTGAAAAAACATCATATCTTGTTTTGGCAAAAATTAACTAAAAAAATGTTTTGTGAAAAATGGTATGGAGGAACAAAGGAAAGTCTAGGGCCGTGTGATTGTGGCAAAAACGTAAATAAGTATCTTGATTCATAGTTAAATCACAATTATTAAAAAAAATTGATTGGTTTGAAAATGTTCTATTTTGATTAGATAAAAATATAAGCAGACTTTCTGAGCGACTAATTAAGTTTTTAAATGCTTGTTTGACTCATTAGCCCTTTGGTGGGCCACTACCTTGCAAGTGATGCATTGGAGACCCCTGATAAACACCATTCACTGCCAGTTGAACTGCATATCAGCTGTTTGTTGATAAGTCTTTTTTTAAGCCTTTATGCAGTTTGAGTTAACTGATCAGGTGTGTTTACACCAAAACAGACGCTCATGATTACAACAGTATCTACACCACTATCTGCAGCGTTTTGCTCACAAAACAGGTTTATACAAAACAGGAAAGTGTCACCAGTCATGCAGCACAGAGCTTGTGGCTAAAAATAAACATAAGTGAATATTAAATTCATATTTGTCGCCTGTGTGCCTGTCTTACCCTGGATGGTCCTCTTGAAGAAGGCCTTGCAGGCCTCACAGGAGGCCACACCATAGTGGTAACCTGAGGCCACATCACCACACACCAGGCACAGCCGCTTGGCCACTGAACCCAGCATGAATTCACACTTCACTTGACCTTCTTCTTCACCAAACCTCCTGCACACGTGCAGAAAAAAAAAAAAAAAGGAGTAGGAAACAGAAGGAAAGTACAAAAACGGCAGGGCTCCTTCTAATGGAGCAGCTTAAACAGACTGAGACGCACACAAAATAAGGGAGGCAGCGCTGTAAATACCAACCTGTTTGTTCCACCATTATTGGCCAGGCCCACTGTGTGACCGTACAGTCTGGGCGAGTCCAGATCATTGCTGTGACCGTGGCCTTTTGTTAAAGGCCCGTAGCTTGAGTTTGTGTCCGAGGACGAGCTTCCGGGACTGGGTTGGGCTGGACTAGCGTCTCCCTGGGAGCTGGGAGTGGGGCTGGAGGGCTCACACTTTATAGAAGAGGGACAGGTGGGGTCCAAGCCCCTCACTGACATTCTGCCCAAGTGCCTGAAGGGAAAAAGAAGACATTAAACCTAAAATTACACGTTCTTCTTGGAGTCAGAGTGCACATACTGATGGACATGACAATTGATGCTGTTTTCTCGTGCTGATGTCCTTTGATGAAGACGTCAATTTTGCAGGGACCTAATAGATTTTTCCAGCAGAAAATGCAATGCTTTACTCGGCATAAATTTTTTAAAAAAAGCTTAGTTTTATAGATACTGAATGTGTAAGCTTTACTAGGCAGCTTGAAATATTAAAAACGTCTGGCACATCATGAAAAGCAGATTTAGATAACAGTGACCATACACTTTGGACGGTTTACATCTTTCATACAGCAAGAATGTGCAAAACTCTCTCTTGCGAGACTGCAACAATTAGTATGCTGAGTTTCAAATTAATTAAAAAGTGAAATTGAACCCAAATGAAATGTGACCCAGTGATAAACTTTACTCTGTCGTTACTTTTTTATTGAAGTTTGTAGCAGGCATCAATTCCAAAATTAGTTTATCTTTGACAAATAGAATTAAGTTGGTCAGTGAGAACACAGAAAGTCTCTTCTTTGTCCTCTTGCCTAATAAATAGAGATCCAAGTGCATTACAAAATTAGTCTGGGATATTTTTTTTCCACTTTTAGAAAGGGTATTAACTTTCCAGTAAATGGGATTTGTACAAAATCTGCCCTCACTTCTCCATCTCTATACGCCTTCATTTATGCAGCCATCCATACTGGGCTTTTCTAAACCAGCCGTTTGTGATTTCCTACGTATGCAAAGCTGCTGGCCATTATACTGCTTTGTTTTCAAAGAGGGCGATTGTTTAAGCAAACCCATGGAAATAGCCAAACCCACCCATCATCACTATCACTGAGGCTGTTATACTCAATCCAAAATACATTCATTAATTTTCCCACTTTGTTTTCACACTGCGGGCCCTAACAGCTAACAGTTTTACTGCTGGTATTAGAATATGTTGAAATAATCCAAAAGAAAGCTTTGTAATAAGAACATCAAATGTCAGTGCCGGTGCGTGTTAATTCAGCAGAACTCACTGAATTCTACACATCTGCAACCAGCTGATTGCATGGCCGTGCGTGAGGGCAGGCAGCTCTCACGCAAACAAACACACATTCTAAGAACAGACACGTTCGCACAGTCGTTTGTGTGTGGACATAAAAATAAGAAGAGTCTTCAGCGTATCCACATACACTGAAATCGTCAGGAAGATGTTTATGTTGCACTTGTTCTCTCTCTCTCTCTCTTTCTCACACACACACATACTAACACTGTTTAGGACATGTGTCTTCATAAACACTCCAACACATACTTGCAGTCGCCGGGCCAACTTTAAAACAACCCACTGCCGTCGCTCCCTTTGTTGTTCACTCCCTCACAAGGACCCACGACCCACCCAGTCTCTCCCAATCTAATCTGGGTCTGGTGAGGCTGATGTCCCAGTCTGTTTCCTGCCATGTAAATTGATGTGCTCTTGACCACAAGTCATTTGCTAGGCAAAGAAACTGGCTGCCTTTAACAAACCCCAGAGTAAACCATGGTCATGGGCTAGTGACCCCTCTACAAACCCACAAAAACACAGACGCACAGACAGAGGAAGAGACAACAAAAAGCCGAAAAAAAAGAACCATCCGGATGACCTCTACAGTATATGTGGACTTGTTTCACCTGGTCCACACAAAATGGATGTGAGCTTTAAATAGCCCACATAAAAAGGCAATATTTTAAACAGCCATGTCATTTTCCTTGTAAACCTGATCTGATTGTTAGCTAAAGCTACAGAGGAGAGGATGCATTTAAAAACATTTTAAATCAACTGTTTGTATTTAAAATTGTGAATATTTTAAGTTTTAATGTGTTGGAGGTGTACTGTACTGTACTGTACTGTACACACACACGACGTGAAGTGTTCCGTTCCTTGGCACCACAGCCAGCTGTGATGTCACAGGGGTCAGATTGTCACAGCAGTAATTTGTTTTAAAGTGAAAATTGTTTTGTTTCGGGTTTTTTTTTTTTTAAACTGCACTTTTGTTGTGATTAAGCATTTTTTATAAAGAAGGATTTTTGAATCAAAACAATTATAAGACAATGTGAATCTCACTCATCTCAACCCGCCCCTCAGTACCCAGTGAAAAAGCTCTATCCTAACAAACTGTGATGCCATTCTCCCCCATCAGTCGCCTCCTCCGTCTTCATTCTCTCCGATCCATTCAAGACCATATAAAGAGTACAATAAAGAGATTTCAGTTTCCTTTTAAAGCGCCTTGTTCCTATCCTTATCGGTTATCCATCACAGTCGTCAATATCACTGTGTCAAGACTGACAGGTACTGAGTGAGATATACATCATGCTCACACATTTTAATGCATCACCAGGGAGGGAGAGAGGAAGGGAGGGCAGCAGGATGGGAGGGGGCAGGAGTGTGAGGGGGGTATCCGTGTGCTTTCTGCTTTCATAATGGAATGGCATTAGAGTGAGGTGATCAGATGTGATGTGATATTCACTCTGACACATTACCAATCTACAACTGCACATAAAAGCTAATCATAAGACACTGGCTGCAGCTCCTACGGGCCTCACACAATGGAGATAAATCAGAGTAGAGGTGTGTGTGCGTGCGTGTGTGTGTGTGTCTGCGTCAGTGCTTATTCAAAGTTATCATACCTCTACTCCCTTTGTCTCCCAGTATCCACAACAACTCTAATTGCACCCTGGCAACAAAGGCCAGAATACAGCGTGAAACGAGCGTGAAAAAGGGCAGGGGAGAAAACGAAGGAGGAGGAAAAAAAACGAGGGACGTATACAAGAGAGTTGGGTGGAAATTACAAGAGAGGCAGACAGATAGAGGGAGTGCGGAAAAGTGGGCAAGGAAGAGAAAGAAGAGACGGTCCTGCGGCTCATTAACCTGAGGGTGTTGGTGAAGTCAACAGTCACTCACAAACGAGCAGAGTCATAATGCAGACAATGACCCACCAGGAGGGATAAGAGGGGGAGAGAGAGAGCTGAGTGAGAGAAAAACTGGGAACAAAAAGTCAAGCACATAACAACCGGGTGTAAAGATGGAAGTGGAATATCTGTCTCACATACTGTAGATGAGACCAGGAGGAAATAATATATATTTTAAACTTCACTAAATATACTAACCATATAAACAATGTTGACTTTTTTTAAACAGAACATTATTTCGTTTTTCTAAATCGTTCCAGAAAACTAGATTATTATTAAGTTTTGTAGAATCATCTTTTTACTTAACAAATACAAACATGTAATTTATTAACTCCCAAACCCTAAGAAGAGTTAAAACTGTGTGTATGGTCTATAAAATACTTTATAAAAAACAAGTTAAGTTACGAGATGACACTTGGTTAAAAAAAAAAAAAAAAGAACTGAGGTGAGTCTGAAAAAAGATTTGCCGGTGTCAAAGGATATAAAAAAGACAAATGTCAAGAACTGGAGCGTGAACAAAACTTCAAGAGTAGGAAAAAGAACATGACTTGCCAGAAAAGGAAAGATTTCAATTACTAGCTAAAGAAAACCAGTAAAAAATGTAATTCAAAACTCTAAATTACAGTCAAGACTCAAGACAAAAATGAAAACATGGTATCATTATAAAAAAAGAGAAAAAAAAGAAAATTTTTCTCAGGTGAAATCTTCAGTTTTGGGGACAGAAAAAGAAACAGGAGTAACTCTCCAATCTGATGCAACAAAGAATTATTTGGGTTAGCGTCATCTCTGTACAGTTTTTTTTTCTATTCCTATTTTCCAGAGATGAGCCAGGAGGAGATGAGCAGGGATCAGTGGAACCACAGCCACCTTTAAGAGCCTTAGTCAGGCTTTGGAGGAGGCTGACAGCAGGGAGACCAGCTCCCCGTGGCTGTGACTGGAGCTCCGTCCCACAGGCTGTGGAAACATGGATCGCGTGCCACACAGGAGGATCATCCGCAGCGTCACCGCCTACTCTCCCACTCTTTATCTGAATGCATCTGTCACCAGCAATCAGCCGACCTGTAGCCGTCTGCTTGGCTTGTATTTAATTGGCAATTTTGTCTTTTTGTCTCCAAGTCACTTTCTTCTTTTTCTCACTGGGGAAAGTTTTATTTGAACGCCAAGATTCTTAGTGCACCAAGAGTGAAGTGATTATGGCTGAAAGAGCGGTGAGAAAGAAAACCTAAACACCAGTGATCCCAGAGCAGCACATCCTGTTTTTCTGTATACAGTGAATACAGTGTCCATGCAGTGTCTTCCACACTGGGACAAGCTTCTAACAGACTGGTCTTATCAACTATCAACAAACAAACAAGCCGAACAATGAACAATGGAAAACCAAATAGACCTTTAAACATTTAGACTTGAATATCCCTAAACAGTAATTTAGGAAAATACTGCAGTACCTGCAGGGTTTCAACACTGATGCAGAATTTTAAATTGTTTTATCTGCAAAATCAGCACTTTAAATTTTCACTTATAAGTGATTAAAGCAAATAATTTCCCTCATAGACTAAACTTGTAGATCCTCAACCAAAGCACTATATTATAACAAAAAAGAAAGAAAATATTTCATTTTTTTCCCTAACCAATAATGTTAGTATCTTGTGTTTTCCTCAACACGTTTTTTTATGAATAAATATTGAGTGCATTTGTGGCTCATCTTTGTACAGTAGTTACGGCTTAAACGCAGCAGGTGACATTTAACTCAAGAGTGAGAAAAGACCATAAATCTGCTGCTGGGATGAACCCTAAATATTCTAAACTCTAGTGTTTAGTACACAGTCTGTGCCTCATTTGATCTCATGAAGATTGTCTTTGCACTCATGGTGCTGCAGTGAAACTGAGATTCTTAAGGAAATCGAATCAGAAAAGGTGTACTTTTGCAGTACCCTGTCATTCACATTGTGTTTCCTCTCTTGCACTCTAAATGAACCTGGATCTCTCTCTTTCCTGTAATTGATATTTATACAGAGTCGTTGCACAGACACGCGACTACAATCTGTCAATGACGGAGCCATCAGGCAGCGTGTTGTTGTGAGACGCTCACCATAAAGCACAAACAAAAACACAAAACATGCAGAATGTGAATATCTAGTAAACACCATGGCAGAGGGTGTGAGACACAAACATCAAGTACTCAGAGGAAACTGTCAGTCTTTGATAGTGAACTCTGCCAACACAACATCACATCAGTTCACAGCTGAGTGACACTTTTTCACTCGGAGTCAAGCTCCGCAGTCACATTGTGCAGTGAGAAAGTACTTACTCTGAGTCACAGTGGTAGGTGAAACACTCTGGGAGGTAGAGCCCGACTAAATCCATGTGCACATACTCAGAGGCAAAGGAAGAAGAAAACTGCTTCTAGTGTCAGCCTGCTCCTTTTTCCTGTCCCTTTAACTGCTTTTATGAACTGTCCCTCACTGCACACTTTTGTGTCTTTTGTCCTAACACTAAAACCTGGTGTCCACCTTCTACTGCCCTCTCATTGTCTGTCTGTCTGTCTTCTTGACACTTCGTACCAACAGCCCCCCACGCCAGCTGGCTGCTTTGAAGTCTTCACTGTTGTGACAAGGGTCTCCAAGCAGAGCATGGAACGCTCAGCTACAACATTTGACTGGCCATGCGCTCAGTGGGCTGAGCAAGCAGCTGATTGGTTGCCATTTAAGCCAATGCGAGGCGGCCTATCACAGGAGCAGGTGGGCAAACGAGAATCTGGATGTAATAGCTTTTAGTCCTGAACCTTTCACTTGTGGTTTAAACTGAGATTTATCTTTCAGATATTCTTGCCAGATAAGAATTTAGTTTCAGAGTTGAGCTGTCAAACTGAAAAAAAAAAAAAAATTAGACTCAAGTTAAAAAAAAAAAAAAAGGAAAAGGAAAATAAAGGTAAAAAAAAA